GAAATTTCGTCACCTTGTTCACAGACACACCCCCTCCTCCTCTGGATCCTATCCTAGACCAGATCTAACCACTCTGCCTCTTCATATATAACTAGTCGGCAAGGAACGGTGTCTTATAGACGCGAAAATGACTCAGCTATTTAGAAACTTCTCTCCTTCTATGAGGTCTGAAAGCTCGTTCCAGACTGCCACTGGGCTCCATCTTGATACCCATATGTTTTACATAACCTCGTATCAATTACATATATATTAGATTTTAAACGGTTCTGACGATGGTGAATGACACACAGAAATACTGGGGTTTTGGACCTTTTCCATCGTCCGGAATTCTAGGTAATAGAAGACACGACGTTTCGGAAACTGGATATGTTTCAGTTTTCAGGTGAGAAAGGAAGACACCTACTCAGTTTGGCCCCTTAGAAAGAGCTAAGAGTCCAGTGATTGAGATTAGCTCTTTCTAAGGGGCCTTCCTTTCTCACCTGAAGACGGAAACAGATCCAGTTTCCGAAACGTCGTGTCCTCTATTATCTAGAATTCCGGACAATGGAAAAGGTCCAAAACCCCAGTAACTCTACATATATATTAGATGATTATGAATTAATTTTTATTAAGAATGGCAAATTTAATGAATATAATTTTGCGCCTCTGAAACTTGCGTTCGCAAGGACCAGTGAACTGGAATAATGCGAGCTACTTTAAATAAAACACGTAAATTTGTAACTGAGATATAATTCAGTTTATATATATATCAGCATTCATACTTGTATCAGATCAGTTCCTAACGCATCCTTCTTCGGTTCTTACCATAAAGCTAGTCTAACACAGGAAAACATCACTCCTGACCGACACAAATAAGAATTGTGTCGAATTTGACGTTTTCTCAGCGTTGTTTATGAAAAGTTTCATCTTCTCATATAACGCTGTGTAGTAAGCTGAAAGCAAACAGACGTTTCGGAAGAACATGGCTCCATTTTCAATGTCGAAGCCTGGGCCAAACAAGAAATCAGTTAGGCGCAGGTAGCAAGAGCATTTTAATGCCCGTTCTACTTAGTCCTTAACCCTGAAGATGGAGACGTGTTCCTCCGAAACGCCTATTGCCTTTCAACGGACTACACGGCGATATATACCAAAAGATAAAAATGGTCAATAGAAACGCTGTCTAATTAAGCATTCAATCAGAAAACCAATTTTAATCCTATGAAATTCATTGTCGTGTGTTCCGTCGTAACTGAAGAGCTTCGTCAAAAATATTGATCCTGTTTCTATGCTCTCAGAGTGGGAAAAAGAGATTGCATTATTCTGGCGGTGTGATCCGACCCATTTTGGAAGAGGGGAATTTAACTTTTCCCCTCACAACTTCTCCTCACCAGTAGGTGGGTCCGAACGAAAGCAACTACTAGGGACAAACATTGCACGCGTGAATAATGTAACTAGCAGGAGGCTGAAAATAGCAGGGCTAGATTCGCTGTTCTGGGGCAATCAAACTGTAAGGCTCCTATCAGTAACAACTTTAAGTTATAGCAATTACTTTTATTTTTATTTTTCATAATAACGAAAAATACTAAGTAACTTTTCGTGATTTCAGAGAAGCAAATGTCTCAATAAAATCTGTGGATTCTGTTTCTGTTTTGTGGGGGCCCAGGGGTGACAGCCCCGGTTACTACCTCTTAAATTTAGCCCTGAGTCTTATGACCTATACTATTCAACAAATGCTACTATAGTATCATATCAAGAAGAGATGGACGGAGCCTGTAGCCCACATGAGATGCATGATAAATGGTTACAAAATTTGAACAGAAAACCTGAATCGAATAAACCGCTCGGCTGACAAAGTAATTGATGGAAAATACTGTTAAAAAGAATCCTAGAGCAAGAGAATATTACTATATAGAATGTGATTCGGGCTTAGGATATGGGACATATAAAGAAGAGAATTTTTTTACTAGCTGAGCAATTATTTCCCTATGAAACACTAGGCTTCATGGAACAGAATCGTATATCACTTCCTGTGGGAGATATTTCCACGTAATTTATGTTACATGGTTTCTGTACTACTCGGAAAATTCTGAAATTAATTGGTATTCTACTATTTGTATTCACTTGCATGTTATAGAATGGTTCCTTATATATATATTTGTGATTAGTCGAATCTGATGCAGCGGTTTATTAAGACTCTTTCAGACCTTCAGAAAATTACACTAACTACAAGTCCATCAATCTTACTTTGAACATTTATACTGTACTAGCGCCATATTCGATCTTTTCTTTTTTCTCACTGAATCTCATATTCGTCAGTAATATCACACTACATCAATCAACTGGTCCCTTATTTCAACAAGTTGAAACCATTATTCATTTATCACATTCATATAGTATCTTTATGCCTTCCCCGGTTTTTCGTCCTTCCTTTCTTCACCACTTTGCGGAATTTTACCAGAAATGTAGTGTGAGGGTAGCCGAGATGGAAGTTGTGTAGATGCATACATTTCGTGGCGTTTCAATAAAAAATTGTCTTCTAAATAGAGGGAGAATATGTAGAGACTATAGCTATGTATTGCGTCATTGAAAGGAAAGGCTGTAGAAAGTGCTTGGAAAGTTTTATATAAACTTCAGGGATGGTCGTAGTAAAAAACAAGGCAAAACATCCCAGGATAATATTATAGGAGCCTTTCATAAGCCACAAACGTTGCTCCTTTCCATATTGTATACTGAACCATGCTGTAGTCTCGTCTCCTCTAGCTATTATAACAGGCTCGTTACGAGCATCTATTATGAACACAAGCTCTGATAGTCATTACAGCCAAATCACGTACATTGTAACAACAGAAGCTTCACTTCTCCTAAATGTACGTAAAAAAGGTAAAGTTGTCCTTGTGCTCGACTAATTAAGCACTACGCCATGAAGGTCTATGGAGGAATGAATATATATATATATATATATTGTCTTGACCTCGGCACTAGTTGGAGGTGAGTGGTCAGCTTCACGCCCCGGCCGCTTTACCCCGAGGAATGAGTCCACGGTACCCATTGAATAGAAAGTTACGTGGGCCCTAAACCCGGTATGGACTACGTGGAGAAGGTAAAAATTCTTCACCCCACCGGAACTCGAACTCTGACCCCTCAGTCGCCCAGCCCGTAGCCAATCGCGATACTGATTACACTATTATGTACGCACCCCTCATAAAGCAGTCGCTGTTCTGTTGGAAATTTTCACAAGCATACGATATGCATGCAGACAAACAAATGTATTCTAATCTCCTATACTTTATCACAAATATCATATACGTTAAGGTAAATTCCATGTAGTTAATTAATTAAGCACCACGCCATGGAGACATATAGGGGAGCGGTGGCACGAATTTTTACTTCGGCGCTAGATGGTCAGCTTCACGCTCAATCCGCTTTATCCCTGGGGAAATAGCCCCCCAGTACACATTGGATATGAGGCTGGGTGAGCCCCTAAGCAGGTCTGGATGCTGTGGAGTGGAGAAAAATCTCTTGCCCATGCTAGGACTCGAACTCCAACCGTCCAGCTCGTAGCTCGTGGCTATATTGATTGTGTGATACATATTGATACATATTGTATATTGATACATATTGAAATGCGTGTGAGTTACTATAGACGGGGGCTTGGATTGAATGTTGGACTCATTGACCACTTTAACACACAACTCGTAATTACATCTAATTATAGCGTCATTGTTAATCTCCACAATTTACATATCACCACAGCACCCACTAAGCCTTTCCCAGCCTACTGTCTTCACAAGCCGTTCCCTGATAGCTGCTTCTAACAGTGGAGACCCTTCAGCTTCCCCGTTTCGTTACAGACTCCAGTATAGAACTGACTTGGTTTCCCCAACTGTCTTCCTTATAACTCCTCGGCACGGACCGAGTAGAAAACACAGTTTACTTCGACTTCGTAGAGAGATCGGAGTATTGGAATATGGGTAGGCCTATATTAGAGCACTGAGAACGAGACAGTCTTGGGATAGCCGCCGCTGAATACAGTCGGGATCCAGCCATGGCCAAGGATAGTTGAGACGTCCCATTAGAGTACTGGGCCAGAAGTCAGGTGATACTGCAAGTGACAATAATTGTAAGGTGTGTAAGTGTGAGTGTTCAATAAAGATCCGCTAAATCCGAGACCCACGTGAAGTTATTTGTCGCGTGACGTACCCAACACGTGACAATATTACATAGATATGTGTTATTCCCAGTTACTCCGGAATATCTTCACGACATCTGTGACCTGCTGATCCATTCTCTGTGTCCGCTATAAAAAATACGTTCCTACAGTCTCCATTAGTTCATGTTTTCTCAAGACTCAGACTCATATACGTGTAAAAGCAAAGTTATGGCTACTGCCATATGTGATTTCAGTATGAAGTTAGGTTCTGGAGTTCATTTAGTACTGCGGAATGTATAATTCCACATACATATTGAAATCTGTTCTATGTTGAAATTTATTTTCGATTGATTGCTTCGATCATAGGTTGTATCAACTGCAGACGTTATTTAATGCCCAATAATACACGTATGAAAAGACAATCGTGTTAAATGCTCTTGCAGAGAATTACTAGAAATGTCGTCGTGGCCTATTTAAATGAATGATCCCCTCATTCGGACCGCATCTGTGGTCTAGTGGTCAGAGTCCCTGGCTACAGATTCAGAGGTCCGGGTTCGATTCCCCAGATTTTCTGAGAAGTAGTGGGGGGGGGGTCCACTCAGCCTCGTGAGAATAATTGAGGAGCTCTTTCAAAAAATTAGTGGCTGCGGGATAGGAGACCTACATTAACGACCGTGGGGATTCGTTGCGCTGCCCACGCAACAGCCTCTATCAGCAAAACTTGGCACTAACTTCGCCGACAAGCAGCGGTCGCTTGGTCGGTATAGTTCGCTTGCGGACTAAAACCACAGAGTTCTTTTGTTTGATCCCCTCATTCGTTTACAGAAATAGAAGGAAATATACAAATATCTAAGTAAAGTCTGGAACTTACCTTCGAAGCGTTACCACCTAAATCAGCTTACTCCTTTATCCTCTGATATCTTCTGAGACCAGTAACCAGATTATGGCTGCAAAGGACAACAAATGCATTAGGATTTGTGGTCACTTCAGAATTCGGCTGTCTAATGTAATTCAAAGAACGTGACGGTATAAATATTAAAACGTCTATGTAAAACACAGTCTCAACCAAAACAAAGACAGCACACACACACACACACACACACACACACACATACGTCCAGCAATACAACGCACGCAGCCACATAAGAGAGACACATCATAAGACACAATATATACACAATTAGAACATAGGAAAAACGACTCCCATAGCGGATGAATGGCGTTACACACGAGTTTGATATACGACATGTAAGATGATAGATCTTAACAAGCTTTAATATATAAATTTTATTATTGAACAACGACGAACACACATTTTATATAATTTTATAAATGGACACTTGATTGCAAGCAGTGCAATGGTTTAACGTGATTAATACACCTGAGGATGGCAGAATGATGCCGAAACATGTAGTGTGAAGTGACAAGTGAAATTGTATGCACTAGAAGACGGTTAATATATTCACATTATCAACACAGTCCGTCAATAATGCAACAAATTGTTCCTTTTTCTTCCATTCATACTTTAACACAACACGTTTCGGCCTTAGATGGCCATCCTCAAGTGTCTTATTATATAAAATCAGTTACACTGCAATAACATGCGCTAAAATTACACGCTGTAGTCCACTTAATAAAATAAAATAAAAAAATCCATTAAAATTTTATATTAAAATTTGTATTACTTTGGTGAAATTCTATTCCACCTCACAAGGGGTGTCGTCAATTTGTTAAGAATTATATGTTGCTCTCCACTGATCGATTTTATGGATTTCTGATAGATTTTAATGGATTTTATTTTATTAAGTGGACTAGAGCGTGTAATTTTAGCGCATGTTATTGCAGTGTAATAGTTTTAATGTATTAAGACACCCGAAGATGGCCATATAAGGCCGAAACACGTGTTAAACTAAAGTGGAGGAAGAAGGCACAATTTGTTGCATTATTGACGTACTGTTTTATACATAAACTAAAAAGTAAAGGTATCCCTGTAACAGGCCGTGCAGGCCGGTAGGGTTATGAAATGTTGAGGTTCCCACATTGTCCAGACAATCGGCTCATAGAAGGCGGCAAATCTGTCAGCCCTACGTGCCAGCCGTCCTTTACCCCAAAGAATATACCTGGTACTCATTTCTGCTAGAATATGTGTCGACCCCAGGGCCATAGTGCGGCTGGAAATATTAGGTCAATTGAAAAAATCCAATGACCGCATCGGGACTTGAACCCCCTACCTTACGGCTTGTAGCATAGTACCACAACCAACTACGCTATCGCGTGCCCCACTCTGTGTTATACATAGACGTTTCAATATGGCTTGCAACAGGATGCTTAAATACAGAATGACGATATAAATATTTAATTTGTAATGCGAGGCAACATGAACCATTTTCTTTTCCTCGAAATGAAATAAGTTTAATTAGACCTACGTCTCATTTACGTCAATCCCACAAAATTAACGGCTTTCGGGTAACTTGTGCCTATTCGTCAGCATTTTTCATCTTCAGAACTACAAAACGTGTTACGATAAAATTTCATGACCATCTCCATGACTAAGTCCTCATTGAGAAGCCACCAGGCGCTCAGTTACACAAGAATATGTCGACATTTTATGAAAGTCGAACGTTCAATGCTGTGCTCACAAGAGCCCTCTTACTGCTTTCTATCCTGAGCCAGATGAATCCAGTCCATAATTTCCCATTCCATTTCTCTAATATATATTTTACTATGTAAGATTTGAGGCTTTCACGGCGGTGAGTATGAAGAAAGCAGTCTTCTGGGATTTGGCACCGTGTATATGTGGTGTTAACCGACGTTTCGGAGGAACGTATCGCCTCCATCTTCAGGGTAGAAGAAAAAATATAAGAAATCTGCAAGCGAAGAGACCGTGAGAACCGGTAAAAGCAGACTGCTTTTGAATCACTGAATCACACACTCAAAATATTACACATGAATGAAGACTTCTTATTACACTTTACGTGTAACTCTTCTACGAACTTCTGTGGGTACCTTCCACTAAGAACTTAGAACTCAGAAGTGAACCGTAGCGTCGATTGTTTTAAGATGACTCCTTTGCACTGACCCCGCAGAAAACACGGCCTCCACTGTTGAAACGTGTTTACTGAACCACTGCATAGCAACGGTCGCGGCGCGAACCCCACAGAAAATAGTTCATCTATTGTTGAGGTTTGTTTACAGAGCCGTTGCTTAGACACGATGTGACAATCCACGTCACAATACGTGTACATTAAATTCCATGCAAGTCTTAGCAGTTAAAAAATGGTGAATATTTCCTGAACGTCTTTGCCTTTAAATCAATCATTTAAATTCTTCAAAATCGTGCAAATTTGCAGCCTTAGGAAAATGATGCTATATGAATAACCTGTCAAATGACAAGTCAATCGATTCTGTTACGTTACGTGACCGAAATCTTCACAGCAAAACATTGTTCTATAAATTACATTTTCTCTCATTTGATAAATTCTTCATCCAACTTACCAATAAGTTAGCGGCCTCCGTAGTCTAGAGGTAACGTTCCCACCTCATGACTCAAGGTACGCGGGTTCAAACCCGGCGGATGTCGTGGAATTTTTAAGGGCGGAAAAATTCGGGGAACAAGTCCTCCGGGATGGACTTTAAGCCGTGTGTCCCGTGTCGTAGATTTACGGCACGTAAAAGAACCTCATGTCTTTAGGAGACCTCTGAGCTAAATTACAGGCCCTTTCCCGCCCAAGTAGTCTCCAATGCCTCTGGTGGATGGGGGAAGCATCACGGTACCGGGGGCCGACCTCGTTGGCTCTACGGGGGCTGATGGCACGCACCGTTACCGGTAGGGTATGGCGACAGTAGAAATTAAAAGGGGGACGCACAATGGACCAATAACTGGTCGAAGTGCATGGGGAAACCCACCCCCTCCCATAATACATACATACATACCATTAACTTATTGGATGTCGAAGAGAAGACTGTGGAGTCAAGCCCTGCACTTCCGAACACTACGCGTAAGGCCTTCTTACAAAAGGTAGAAAGTAAAGCTATCCCTGTAACACGACGTGGAGAACCACAGGGTTGTGAGACGTCGAGGCTCCCACATTTTCTATACTACAGGCTCACAGATGGCACTGAGGTTTTCAACCTTAAGCGCCAGCCGCCCTTAACCACCCAGGAAGATTCCTTAGCCTCATTTCTGTTACAAGCTGAGTCGACCCCAGGGCCATAGTGCGGCTGGAAGGATTAGGTCAATTGAAAAATCTCATGACCTCATCGGGAATCGAACCCACGACCTTCAGGCTTCTAGTACAGTGCCTCAATCAACTACACTATCGCGTGTTCCCCTTAAAAATGAACACAAAAAATTATAAAACTAGGATTATGCCAGCTGATGATTGTTAAGCATAACATNGAGGTTTTCAACCTTACGCGCCGGCTGCCCTTAACCACCCAGGAAGATTCCTAGTGCTCATTTCTGTTACAAGCTGAGTCGTCCCCAGGGACATAGTGCGGCTGGAAGGATTAGGTCAATTGAAAAATCTCATGACCTCATCGGGAATCGAACCCACGACCTTCAGGCTTCTAGTACAGTGCCTCAATCAACTACACTATCGCGTGTTCCCCTTAAAAATGAACACAAAAAATTATAAAACTAGGATTATGCCAGCTGATGATTGTTAAGCATAACATGCTCCATTTATGCTTGTACTAAACTGGTTCTGAGTTTTATCGAGTTACTGAATGCCAGGAACTGATGTAGATCAACTGATATAAGTTTCAAAACATTATACTGCGCTTTGATATTATGAATTGCATTTCAGAGTGATCTCTAGGCCAATAATTCACATAACATTGTCACACTGTCACACTGTTGTTATAATTCTCAAAAGATTATAATATGATGAGTTATGATTCAAAATAATCTCTCTGTATTGTCAATAACACCAATAAAAAATTCTCTTTCAATAGAGCACGAATAAAGGGACTTTGAAACTGGTGAACTATCAGTAATTTGTGTTTGATTCCCTCTGCCTTTACAGAAATAAGCTTGTGTGAGAAACAGAGGTCAATTACACACAAAAAGAAAACAAACATACGAAGCTTATAGCCGAATATCTCTTCTGATGGAGCCCAAATCGCACATAATGAAGAATTCATACATGCAGTATCAAGAAAACACCCCCTCCTTGGCCTGTAGTCCGCAAGCGAACTATATCGACCGAGCAACCGCCGCTTGTCGGCGAAGTTAGTACCAACTTTACCGGATAGAGGGTGTCACGTCGTCAGAGCAACGGATCCTCACGGCCGTTAATCTCAGTTTTCTAGACCGGAAACGCTATTTCCTTGAAAGAGCTCCTGAATTATCCTCACGAGGCTGACAGGACCCCGTTCCAGACCCACTACATCTAAAAAATCTGGGGTACCTGGGAATCGAACCCAGGACCTCTGGATCTGTTGCACCTGCTCATGCTGGTTCGCTCGCGGATTTATTCTTGTCTTCTACCCTGAAGATGTAGGCAATAAGTTCATCCGAAACGTAGGTTAACACAATATCTATACGGTGCCACATTCCAGAAAACTGCTTTCTCCACTGTAATACCTTACCCACGATTCAGAGTGTAAGACAAAGTGATGGAGTTTGTTTTCACTTTCGAGGAATGAAAGTTAATTTTGAAGTGGCACTGGAAATTTGAGAACCCTTGAGATGTGCAAAAACTCTGGAGACGTAAACTAGAGGTTGAGGCTAGCAATTTCAGGAATTCTTGATAAATTGTGACTGAGTGTACCTTCAGAGACATGTACAAGCAAAGAACTGGGTCAACTCTCCCATCAACGAGTGGGCGAAATTCCGCTGTGTGTTACAGTAATTCACATGACCACCGAACGGATCTGTAGGGCAATGTATTAGTGAGATTGGAAACAGGAAGGAAAGTCCACACCACATTCTCACAACTGCTCA